GATTTCTTCCATGCATATCTTCATCAACAATTCTACTTCTAATTTCGTGGTATAAATTCTTTCTCACGTAGTGTCAGTCTGCAAGGCACACTACACGAAAAATTATCCTGGTGGTGTGGAGACAAAAAATTCTCCAATACTTTAATTGCATACTACTTCGCGTAAGTAGACAAAATCTCAGCCTATTGAGTCTAGAAACTCAGTAAACCCTTAATCTCTTTGTCTTTCCTAAATTCCTTCAAATACTATATAACGCCTTATGTAACTTCAACATCGATGCCGCTTTGAGTTTTTATCACAATATTCAGTCCTTCCGAATCCGTAAGCAATCACTGCTTCAACCTGGTTGTTGGTAGAAATGTCAGATGATGGGACGACTTCAGGGATTACGTCAAAAGTTCTATCATCCAGCAAATCGAAAGTGTACTTCACTCGTACCATACTCCTCCATACATACTATTATTTTATTATACATATGATAAAGGTACAATACCACTCTATAGGTATTATTTACGATATCTTTCGATAAATACCATTCATTATCGTAAGTCTCCTTATCTCCTCGAAAAGTTATATACTAGTTCAAATACAGTAATTAAACACTTAAAAATCCGAACACATAAAGTTTCCAGATCATGGTCGGCAACAAACCTTAGATCTTTTCAAATAATAGAAAAATAAATAGGAAACATAAATAAATCATTTAGAACATAACAACAAATTAGGCATTTATTCTAAAGTAAACTAGTGCTTGTGTTAATTCAGGTATACTACCTGAAATAAAATAGATACATTTGACGATCATTGCTTAGTATTCTAAGTTTAAGTCTAGAAATCCTCAAAATTCGTAGTTCGCTTAAACTAATGCTCTCATACGAACTATGACATCCTCTAATTTTCAGAACCCAAAATGATATTCCTTTAAGCTTTTAAAAATCATAATACTTTATTTGCGGAAAATCCCAGTATATTAAAATCTTTTTTGAGTACAAATGATTGTGTCAAACAGAATCCTAAGTATGTCATAAATCGATATAGTACATACATTACAACATAAAGGCCTAATGGTTTCGAACGTTATTGTAGGTTGTCTCTTAATCACTCATCATCCTTAAGTCTTGATACCTGTGATGCATATAAACTGAGTGTGTCAGGTTGGGAAACCTTGTGAGATACATAAGGTTTTTAATCCCCTAATGTTAATATATATATATATATATATATATATATATATATATATATATATATATATATATATATATATATACACACACACACACATCTTAATCCTGGAAAACCAACTGTTACCAATCAATATATAAATATCTCTTCGACTTGCATATCTATAAAACCTTATACCTATACATGCCCATCCCAATCGATCTTGACAAATCCTAGTCCATGATTATCAGGGAAAATTATCTCACCTAGTGAATCGTTTAGAGTAAGGGTTCGACTACACAGCTAGGGTCTTCCTTCGTCGGTGTAAGTCATAAAGGCACATGAGCCATCAAAGTATTTGATGAATATGGTATCCCATTTCATCTACATTTGTGGGTTATGAGCCCACACTAGCAATGTAATTCACAAGACCGTCTAGAATGATCAAGTGTTGTCATCTTCCTTTGGGAGATGACCAGACATACCGTTACAATTTCCTGATCTGGATCCACCATTTCTGGTCATCCAATAGGAATACTATATTGTATTCCGGTATGTATTTCGTACCATTAACACCTGAAAGTGTCACAGAAAAAAACTCTACTTTATGTTCCTAACTTACTCACATTATCTAAATGACACTACCCAATATCAAACTTAACTGAACTAGGCATATATAATTAGTCTTATCTTACCACTAGGCAAGACTACGAGGCTTATAATCAACTTCACTACCTGCTCTATTTAGAAAACACTATTCTATCCTAGTGTATATTCAACACAATGTACATTAATATACAATTATCTTTTATTATTATCATCATTTAATAATATTATATATACCTCTTATCACATATAGAATCATATCTAGCACATATTCCAGGAAATAAGCACATAATTCGCATGTAAGCCCTCAACATATATTTAATACATTTATTAGATACTAGTATTAAAATTATGATCACGAAAGTATCTATGCACTCCCTTGACTTAGGTGGATGATTGGTGATTTGGACAGAGCTTCGCCTAACACCATAGCTTTTCCTTTGACGTGACCTAGATATTCACATCACTTAGTCTTAGTCTTATATTCTTGTAACTAATGATATTCTAGATTCCCCAATAATCCTAATGTCTACTGATCTATAACTGATAAGGAACAAACAGATAAGATTATATCGGAGGTATGGTCTGTTTGGTATACATAGTATACTGTTTGGAAATCCCACTTTAAACACATCACTAAATCTAGCCTAGACATCATTTTTGTAAGTAGATTAATCAAAATAATGACTTGGAATTACTGATAAATGTTATTTATAGATTCATAATAACAACTATGAACATAAATATAAGTTACACTTGAAATAAGATAAATGTAGCTTAACTTACATGAATATTACGAAAAACCGAGAAATTACACTGGCAGAACCCCGATCCAAAAGCTTCAGGCTCCTAGCTACTTTAGAGCCTAACTAAAATACTAAAAAGTTCAGAAAAAGTTGGACCTTAAGGACCAGAGAGATTTCAGAGAGATATATGAGAACTCGGATGGGAAATAAAGGAAATTTGATGGGTATTTATAGCTGAACAGGCGCGCGCCATTCACCAAACTGAGGCACGCTGCACCCTTCAAGCGACGTTGCTCCTGCCCCCTACTGCCATGTGTCAGCAACAAATTTTCCCATGTTGCCATGTCGGCATCCTGTTACACATCGCGCCTCTCGCACGTATGCATGTGAATTTTTTATTTTTCCAAAAATCATATCTTCCTCGTACCAGCTTCGTTTTCGACGTTCTTTATATCCACATATAGCTATCGACGAGTACTACAACTTTCATTTGGACGTTGTCGGTTAATTCTCATTTTATTTTTAAAGTTATATTTTTAACAGACTTAGTCTGTTAAAGTCCGTATTAAAATCATAACACTATCAAACGACCTCCGTTCTTGGTTGTTTTTATATTGATGAATTCCTATTCACGAGATCTTCAATTTTCTTTTAGATTGATTTGCCTAACAATCGACCGATTCAAAATTTGGTTTCTGTGTTGCATACTGTTGCGTTGAATCTTTGAAAAATCATAACTTCCTTATATGGAGTCAGATTTGGACGTTATCTATATGCACAAGTTCGCTTTTAGGGCTACTACGACTTTTGTTTAGATTACTTAGGCTAATAACCAACCTATCTCCGATTCACTATTTACGACGCGTATAACAATGTCGGTTTAATCGTGAAACTTCGAAGAAACATGATTTTTCATACGAAGTCAGATTTAATTAAGCGCCCCTTATATCCATGTGATAGTCATTACGACTACATCTTTAACTAATATTATCTATTATATCTTAAATGTTTAGCCCGAATTTACGGGCGTTACACAATGGAAAAAGAGTATTAAGTCTCTAATGGAACATGGTCATGTAATGAATTTTCTAGTCATTGTAAGGTACTTCTGGGATAATTACCCCTCTTCACGAAGTAGTGGACTATATGAAAAGTTCAAAGGGCTAAGATGTCCCCATATTTTAGAATTAGAGGTATAAAGTCCTTATATTGGTTGTTAGGGGTATAAACTTCCCAATTGATGTTCTAATTGTAGCTCTTTGTGTAATTGGAAATTATTTATTGTAATATTATTTTGTTAGTAAACATAAGTTAACACTATAAAATGTGATTATGTTTTAATATCCATGTACTAGTATAAAGGGTATAAAACCCAGTATTTTAGAGTAAAGGTAGGAAATTATCTTATTGTGACATTAGGAGTATAAAATTCCATTTGTATATTTTGGGTTTGGAACACTTCGATAATTGATAATTCGTGTAGAAATGTGTTATTATGAGACATCTAGATTGCCATTAAGGGTATATGAAATCATTATAGTTTGATGTTAAGGGTATATAGTTACTACAACTTGTTTTAAATGGTATGACGTGCCTATAATTAACTTGTCGTAAATGGTATGGAGTCCTTATATACAGGGCAGGAAGTCCCTATAGTTTGTAAGCTTGACACACACACACAAAAAAAAAAAAAAAAAAAAAAAAAAAAAAAAAAAAAGATTGCACATTTACCGTTAGTTGTTATAATTGTTTTGATCAGAAAATTGTATTAACCATTACAATAATATTTATTGTTGTTTTAAAATCCATGTGCTCACGAGAGAGACGTTATTTATCTCATGTATTATCTTATTTGATAGTGTTCCACAAATGTTAATGAGAAGTGACTTAGTAGATCTTTAGACTGATAGGTACGAGCAACGCCAAGAGGCGTTAATCTGAGTTGGAGGCCAAATAACGCCGACATAACGGGCAGCACACGGCCCCCCTCTCATGTTATTTATTGTTATGTTAATAAATATTTTCATGGTCACCGGAAGTAACGTGGAAATTAACCAATCAAAAATCTCTCTCTCTCTCTCTCTCTTAACATGTTATAACATTTACACAACACTTCCTATATAAATCAAATGGTGGTGTTAAAGATGACATGACATTTGCGTTGGCAAATTTTGGGTATGATAACATGTCTTAACATGTTGCACATACCCAACGATGATGCATCTTTTGTGAAGAATTAGACGACCCGAGGAGTAGCATGCGGGAAACATTAGTTTGTGCGTATGATTTTAGTGTACCTTATATTGTACAATTGCTTCATTATGACTTTTATGTTTTGTTACACCCATGATGACACCATTATTGAATAATATATTGGAAAAAGTTGACCACATCCAATCGACAAAGACATTATTGCAAATGATGTCATGTTGCTAATTGCCGATGATTAAAGTTGGGGTATTACAACATTAAACTTAAAATAACATGTTAATTATACGATATGTACTTCTTATTGTTCATGTATCGAGCAAGCTCAGAATCGTACGAACTTCCTTTATAGCCCTTATACTCGCTCCACCACTTCATGAAACTACTCCCCTCCACGAAAATCTCAGGAGACACCGAGAAATCTTTTATCGAATGCAAAACATATACCTCAAATTTCTCGATGTCAGTTGCAATATTGTTTCGGTCCCCATTCTTTAAGTCTCTTAGGGAAATCAATGCCTCCTCTACATGCGCCCAAAAGCAAGAATCCTCGGTAAGACTAGCAGCCTTCGTTTTTGCGTCGCTTGGCTTACGACCCTTCTTTTCTTCCTCCGACCACTTCTCTAATAACTTGTAGTGGTTTGGTCTAACCGCCATGTAGTTTGTTTTTCCCCTTTTGTAGTGGTCGGCTATGTCTAGTGGCTCGACAATCCTCCTGTAGTTGGTTCCAGCGTAAAGCCAACGCTTACGCAACTTCGCACCTTCTTTTTGTGGCACTAGATCATTTTCTTCCACAGTCTTCTTCCAGTACTGGTTCAAATTTAGTTGATGTCTGATGGCTTCATTTTTTCCCATGATTTCGGTTGCGCTTTTGGCATCCTTATAGCTATCATAGTAACCCCCTGTTAGTCTTCGGGTCTTCATGTACCATTCTATGTACGTCAAGATTATCTTCATGTCGTTTAGCTTCTTTGTAGGCTCATACACGTTCCTACTTTTGATGATCATCCTTGTTTGCTTCTTTTCCATTTTCTCGATCAAATCATTTGAAATATCATTTAACGCACCGATTTCTTGAAACTGGAATACAATTCCGGCCCTCAACGGGCTTAAGTTGGATTCGTTGAATTTGGAAGCCCCGTGATACAATGCCGTCTTTCTGATCGAACCCAACTCTTTACTATAATCGTGCATTTGGTAGCTTTCAGCATTTTGTGTCACCATAGCGTCTAGAACTGCCAAGATCGCCTCTTGATCTTCAAAAGCTGTGTGCCCACCTGATTCTGTGCAGAAAAGGAAAGTGCCGAAAGGCTTGTATTCACTATTCGATGAGAAAAAACTAGCAAGAAGATCTGTCTTCGCGACCACATTCAGGAAAGATGATTTCCATTGTGGGCGTTCAGAGATGGCGCCTTGGAGATGTTGGTTACCAATAAGGGGCGAACCAAAAGTTATGCAAATCGGACGTTTGGCAGTTTTTGAACCGTTAGATTCTTCCAAATCTGCGTAATGTTGATGCAGGAGGGTGTAAAGAATGGCGAGGTATCCACCTAGACCACATCCGGTGACAACCAACTGACCATTTATAAGCTGAAAAAAGAACGATTTAAACCATTAAGAACAGATACTACATTTGATCTTGAGTTCTGAATCTGCGAAGTAAAGATATACCTGATTTGAGAGCTCGGATAGCTCTTTAAAATGAAGCTCAAACAACTCAACAGCAGCTTTGTTAATGGATAAATTGGGTTGACTTTTGTCGAAATGAAGTCGACGACTTTATGCTTATCTGATGAAACCAGACCTTCTCCATTACGAAAACGAATTGTATAATCAGACAAACAGTTGAAAGCCAAAACTTTGATCCCAGAAGGACTCGTGTCAAGTTGATAAGTGGAAGAAGTTTGAGAAATTGCTCGATAAGCATCTTGAATGACATCTATGCTGCCAAGAAACTTGCCCCCTTCGACTTCACTGCTGAACCTGCAAGTTGTTATGAAACTTATTTTCAAGATTCGATATTTTTATGATGAAAGAGATTAAGATCGATGCAAATCTAGCTTACATCTTTTGGCTCATCTTCTTTCTTGTTTCTTTTTGAGAAACTTTTTGGTGTGTTTCTTTCAGATGTTGAAGACAATGGAACGAAGCTTTCAAAGATTCGTTGTCGCAATAATGTAGATGTCAAGAAAGATTTATTTATAATGCACAAGAATTCGTTGGTATTGGGGTGTGTCTAATCCATACGAAAGGTCGTGATGATTACAATTTTTTGTATTTAAATGTGGAGGGTTTCAAGTTGCAAGTTCGTTTCCAAAAGTCGTCGATAAAATCTTTATTTATTTAAATTGGTGTAAATTACATTTTTATTCCTTATGGGTTCATATGTTTTATGGATATATGCATTTATCATTTCTAACGTTTTCATCCTCCAAAGACTCATTTTCACTTTTAGTCCTTTGGGTAAAGGCGTTAAGTATGTGTAAACGACAAATATGTACTTTTCTTTTTAATTTGTTGATAATTGTGGTTAAAGTTAATTTTTGAATGGAGCCCAATCACTCACATATGTTCAAATACTTCATTTTTGTCCCGATGCTTTTCAACCATATTATGCACTAATTAAAACATGACATTCAACAAGCATCCCTTGTGTGCAGAAAATCCAAACTTGGAGATGAAACAATCACCATTAAACACAGGCTTGAAGGGGATCTCATGTTTTGATGACTATAAACGACTAAAAACATCTAAGTCATTTTAAACACGAACTAAACTTGAAGAGAAAGGTGTCATTGAAGGAAGACGACGATAGGTGGGTGAGCTCATAGAAAAAGTCAATAAGACAAAATTTAATAATTGTATAAAAGTAAACGCAAATTTGTTATTTTATACAAACTTAACGTCCTTTCTTCACAAAATCAGACTCGGGGAGCAAATATGTGACAATAAAACTTTTACAGCAACTGAGGAAGAAGTTAGAATGAAAAATTATTGCACCACATGGGCGAAAAAGTTTAATTTACCTTTGAAATGATTAGAGTCTTCGGATTAACATCTACTAGAATTCTTTTTCTTTATTTTTTGACGGTTTATCAATAAATATCTTCAAAATTATTCTGCTAACTATTTATTTTTAAAATGATGGGTGCCGACAATAATGTCATTATTAGACCTTCTTTTGGTTGTTTGTGTTGTTTGGACATCCCTTCAAACTCTTGATCGGATGTGATTTCTCTCTCATAATTAGGCCCACACGTAGAGAGTTGATTGGTTCAAATTGATCTAGGTCGATTGTGAGACTTTCCATATTAGGCTGATGGGAGTGGAAGCGCTAAGGAGTAGTGGCGGACGCCGAAGGTTTTAGTAGGGGTGACACTAAAAAAAAATTTCCGAAAAAATCTAAATTAGTAGTGGCACTCGTATTTTAAGCCGGTGCACCTAATAGAAAAAACATAAAAAAAACATAAAAAAAAAAATTACACTACGTGCCGGAATCGGAGCAGTGGCCCGGGACCCCCCGGGCACCACTAAGGTTCGCCACTTGTAACACCCAAATTTTCGAATAATTTTTCACAATTTTTAAAACATACTTTCATTCATAAAATAATAATAAACTTAATGTATCCACTGTCATCATAGAAAAACATATCCCAGAATCATATAAACAAAAGCTCCATGAGTGTGTACAGATCATGCCGGCGCCTTCCCGTGATCATCACTGGTACCTGAAACACATACACAAAACTCTGTAAGCATAAATGCTTAGTGAGTTCCCCAAAATACTACATAAACACATATCAGCCACTCAAGGCTGTAACTCTGATGACCCTCTGGTCGAATATCTCTGTGGGACCCTCTTGGTCCCATAACTCTATGGACCCACTGGTCCTAACTCTGTAAACTCTGAATCATGCATATCACATATCACATAGAATCACAACACATAAATAACATACAAGATACACTGTCACATAGCTCTGATTACCACTCTAGGTAAAGTATAGTGAGAAGACTCACCTCGGGAATCTCGGTAAAATCTCGATATCAGAATACTGCCCTAGCCTCCACCTAGTCACAATAATAAATTTCACTAAATAAATGTCGCTTCACAATTTGGATATTCTCTCATGCAAATCCCTAGAAGGGTAAAAGACCATTCTACCCCTCTACAGGCCCAAGGCCCATTTGTTGACAAACCCTAAAAGTCAACCCAAAAGTCAACTGTCCATTTTGACCAGACTCGCCGAGTGCATACGACGACTCGGCGAGTCTCATCGTCCCCACAGACTCTTCCCTTTCTAAGCCTCACTCGACTCACTGAGTCACCCCTCAACTCACCGGATCACCACTGGAGTCAGACCTCGGGGCAACCCGGTCCGACTCGTCGAGTCTACATATGGACTCGGCGAGTTTCCTCCATGGACTTGCTCATACAACCTCCTGAGGTCAGATCTGCTTAGCCAAATCATAGATCTAACCCTTAAACACTCAAAAGTCACGTAAAGGTGCAACCTTTACGTGCATGCAACCCAATTCAAGCCTTAAATGGAGAAATAACACTAGAAATGGCAACCTAGTCTCCAATTGCTTATTTGCTTGCAAAAAGCTAGAAGGTAATGACTCTAGGGACCTTTCATGGTCCAGATCTGATGTCATAACCCCAAAGAGGACCTCATACTCACTAGATCTTTCATAAAATGAGGGTAAAAACCCTAAAATCAAGAAGTCCATCAATATAACACGAAATGGAAAGGTTTATACCTCCAAAGATGATATCACGACATGATTAGCTCAGATCCAGTCCCCTTCACACTCTAGATTTGTGCTCCTATCTTCCTTCAAGCAAAACCACACAAAAAGATGAAGAAATAGCCTCCTCTTGCCCTCAAACTCACTATCTCAGCTCTCTAGGGTTTCTCTGGAACAAGGTGGCCGCAAATGAAGGCCATAAAGGTCTTTAAATAGGCTCCCAAACCCGAGGATTAGGGTTTTCCTAATCAGCACCGACTCGGCGAGTCAGGTCCCGACTCGTCGAGTCCGTTCGCGAAAATACGCCAATAGATCAGACTCTACTCGACGAGTTGAGGCATCAACTCGTCGAGTTCCTCAATAAAACAATAAATAAATAATTAAATTAACATACCCGAACTCAGGATGTTACACCACTGCTAAGGAGCTCGCTAGGAAAAAAGAACATCTCCCCTAGCTCTCGATAGGGGGCTCGCTACGGCGTAACGAGAGGAAAGAGGGAAGATTGCTTGAATGTGATTAGCTGTTAGGGTATTGATGATCCACCTTTTTACAAACAAAAGTTCACATTTTTTATTAATTTTTTTTAAATCAATTTCAAAATTTCAAATTTCAATCCAATCCATATAAAAATTAACACTACACTTTCAACAATTCACGCACAAACTATCATTCTTTTTTCACAAATTGACTCTCTCCTTTATAAAAAAATGTCATCTTCATCCTTGTCCTCGTCTTCATCATCATCGTCATCTTCATTGGACAATGTTTTTGATAGCGTAATACAATCAGCGATCTCCATACGTAATAGGCTAGAAAAACATGTTAATAACCATGAAGCGACCAATATGCAACGTAAACAAATAAGATATATCCAAATATAGCATGCAACTTCTAGTGACATACAAAATTTGTATGCTCATCATGCGAATGTGTATAGTTTACCTGGGATGTAAAGAAGTTTAGATTGCATGCATTGGAGATGGAATTTGTGTCTAAATGCATATCATGGACAATACACAAAGGACAATTAATTAGGCCCACACGTAGAGAGTTGATTGGTTCAAATTGATCTATGTCGATTATGAGACTTTCCATATTAGGCTGATGGGAGTGGAAGTGCTAAGGAGCTCGCTAGGAAAAAAGAACATCTCCCCTAGCTCTCGATAGGGGGCTCGTGTCACACCCCAAAACCGGAACGACGGAAACGTTCGGGGGCGGAGGACGTCATGTACAGTATCACAACAATGCATAATAGTAAAACAAGCAACAACATCATCCATTGCATTAATAGTATAATTTAATACAAGTGAGTTCTGTATAGTTTGTAAGACACCAAAAATATGAATCAAAATAAGAGATGAGTCTTGAATGTGCTCCATCTTCTCAAAACCTGGTCATCGGTACCTGTCTACTGGCGACTTGAGAATACAAGTTATTTTGAAAGCGTAGATCAACATTAAAGCTGGTGAGTTCATAAGTATTTTAGTGTCATTGTTTGTATCAGTTTGAAGAAAGTGCTTGTAAATGTTTGATGTAAAATTTTGTAAGTGTTTGATGTAAATGTTTGTAAACTTCCTATAAAATCCTATATTTTCTACTAAAGTAGTCTTCTACCAAGACTCAACTGTTCTTTATGTTTGTTCTTTTGTAAAAGTGTGTGTGTTTTCTCAAAGTACGACTATTATTACCAAAATATAGTTTTCATTACCGTTTATGTGAGAAGATCACAATGTGAATGAAATGGGAAAATAAAGATGTACTGTACTTTTATCTATGTAACTACCAATGTACTAACTACCTTAAACCTGTTTGTTTAATTAAGGTAAAATGTGATAAGATTGTAACCATACTTGATTGACTAGTATAACACGACGTTCGAGACGTCGACATGATATGACATTCGTCACCAGTAGACCTGCAGGTCCCACTGTAGCTAGCAGCAAGGTGTAGGATGGTCAGTCCCGTATAGATCTCTACACATATTCACGCTCTCCCTCCAGGAGACTCTGGGTACAAGACGTGACACAGCAGTATATTGCCGAGCCATGAAGTAGTATCTCACATTAATGTTATAGTATTCTTGTGTTTGTATAGTATGTTCTCTCTGTCTAGTATATGGTATGTTCTCTAGTGTATAGTGTGTAGTATGTATTGTTTCTCTTTATAGTGAGTATTCTATCGTTATAGTATGCTCTATCTGTTTCTCTTTATAGTGAGTATTGTCTCTCGTTATAGTATGTTCTATCTGTTTCTCTTTATAGTATGTTTGAACTGACTCATGTATGAACTGACTCTTGTATGTTTCATTGTTCTAGTAATAGTAAGTAGTGACTTCCTAAACTATACCTATTATAGTTTACTAGTAATGTTGTTTGTATGGATGAACATGTTTGTACACCTTTGCTACCCAAAGGTATTGAACTGAACGAAGAACTTTTATATCTATATACATATACATAATATATAA